AGCTATTTCAGCGCAGTTCCTGTCTCCTGCCCCTCCACTTGCAATCTCTGTTGTCACACAACCAAACGCTGCCATATTTCTGCCTCCCCAAATTGCTCTGTGGCACGGCTCTCCCCTAGCCTGCTCACTCATTTGTGCTGTTCTACTGGACCGTGTCTTTCCGTATCGACTAGGTGAGTGTTTCCTGCTCACCTAGCTCAGCTTTGGGCTTTTTCAGGGAAGACATCAGTTTAGTGACCCCCAACTGCGGCTTTGCTCACGCGGCTTTGCGGCTGTGAGGGGAAATCCAGCACAAAGCTGGTCCTTGTGAGGAAGGTTGGGAAATCTTGGCTTGCATGCCGTGCCGTCCGGTCCCAGGCAGCGTTGCTGGTCTTGCAGCAAAGCCTCATCGCCCTTCCCAGCCGGCGCCAGCGTTTGCTCCTCGCAGCCCGAAGCCGGGGGCCGGGCTGCAGAGGGGCAGGGCCGCGCCGGGGGCTCGCGCAGCACCAGCTCCCCGAGACGCCGGGGCGGTGATCCCGCGGCTCTTCCGTCGCGTGGCGTGCGGAGTTCTGCAGGGGAAGCAAGCTGAGAACAGAGGGTGGACCCTTCGGTGTACTGGCGGCTTGTTAAAAACGATCCTCGCGCGTCTTACGGGAGGAAACTGGCGCTTCGTGCAGCAAACGGAGGTTACAGCAGAGCAGTGGGAGAAGGGCTGGGTGTGCTTCCCGCCATTTCCCCTTCCTTCCCCACAACCAGCTGAAAGCTCCATCTCTTTTGGGCAGTAAAACCCTCCCTCTCTGCACACATGCTGCTCTTTCCTCCTGCAGGGCAAGCAAGAGGCAGCTACCTGCCTAAGAGAAGCCAGTTTCTTTTCTACCCCAAAAGGAAGAAGAAATAACAAGAATTACCTCTCTTCCCCAAGAAGAAGGGAAGTGGAGAAGCTGCGGACGAGAAGTGGCTTTCCTCTCCGTGTGGCACCCGGAGGTGACACAGCAAGGGAGCAGGCATGGCACATCCATGCGATCGGCCACACCTGCGCAGCGAGGACAAGGCGACTGCACAGCCCGAAGAAACGGGGAGGCTTGTCACTATTGTCCCCGAGCGTCTGGAAATCAGGACGTGGCAGAAGCCCCCGTCGATGGCGTAAACTTCATTCAGCCCCTTCTCTCTCCCAGCCTCCTGAAGCCGGTGATGGGGTAGTGCGGGCAGGGGCTGCTCTGTTCCCACTCAGATCCCTCGCAGGCGCTCGAGGGGCTTCTCAGCAAGCTGAAACTTTGGGGTTGTGTGTGCAAACGGGTGCTGGTTGAGGCGGGGGAGAGCTGGGAGCAGTTGGTAGCTTTTCCCCTCCCTAGGGCGGGCACTGGAAGAGTGAGACACGTACTTCATGGGAAAGGGTGCTGGGGGGCTGTTCAGGGCTGCTTGCAGGCATTGCAGCGGGGGCCCTGGGCCAGCTCACCCCTCTTCTGCTCCCTCCCCAGTTTCACCCTTGTGGGCCAGGTGCCCACCAAGCTGCTCTCTCACTCCCCCTCCTCAGCTGGGCAGGGGGAGACAGTGATATAACAAAAGACAAGGACAGGGAGATCACTCACCAGTTACCCTCGTGGGCGAAAGACTCAACTTGGGAAAATTGAGTTAATTTAATGCCAGTCAAAATCAGAGTAGGATAATGAGAAATAAAACCCGGGTCTTCAAACACCTTCCCCCCACCTCGCCCTTCTTCCCAGGCTCAACTTTACTCGTGATTTCTCTCCGAGTGGCACAGGGGGACGGGGAATGGGGGTTGCAGTCAGTTCATCACCCGTCGTCTTTGCTGCTCCCTCCTGCGCAGGGAGGAACCCCTCACACTCCTCAGTTGCTCCAGCGTGGGTCCCTCCCACGGGCTGCAGTCCTTCACAAACTGCTCCAGCGTGGGTCCCCCACGGGGTCGCAAGTCCTGCCAGCAAACCTGCTCCAACGTGGGCTTCCCAGGGGGTCCCGGCCTCCTTGGGGCACCCACCTGCTCCGGCGTGGGGTCCTCCCCGGGCTGCAGGTGGGGATCTGTTCCACTGTGGACCTCCCTGGGTGCAGGGCACAGCCTGCCTCACCGTGGGCTTCCCCACGGGCTGCAGGGGAACCTCTGCTCTGGTGCCTGGAGCACCTCCTCCTCCTCCTCCTTCCTCTCTGACCTGGGTGGCTGCAGGGCTGTTTCTCTCACATACTCTCACTTCTTTTTCCCGGCTGATGCTGTTGTGTAGCAATTTCCCCCCTCCTTCTTAAAGACGATATCCCAGAGGTGCTGCCACAGCCCACAGTGCCCTTTGTCCCAGGCTGTACTCTCCTCCCTCCGTCCACTCCAAATTCAGGTTGTTTCCAAGGACTTGTGTCACACGTTCCCAGTTTTCTCCCATTCCCTGTCCTGCTCCTGCCTCTTTTTCCTACCCCATTCTCATCTGACCAACTTCTCTGCTCCTCTCATGTCTCCTCGGCTTTCCTCTGGGGTTCTTCATTGCCTCTGCTCACTTTCTGCGTAACGCTGTTCCTGTTTTCCTTGCCAAGCTGTTTTGGGTTACCCCACACACCTTGTGCTGGACGGGAGGGCAGCTGGCACTCCCACAGTCACTGCTCTGCGTTAACCCTGGGCTCTGAGAACCTCGCTGCAGCTGCAGAACTAAGCTTTTGTGGAACACTGGGTGTTTTGTGTATTTTTATTTTGCGTTTTTATAGTGCCGTGGTGATTTGCAGTTTTTCTCTGCTGTTTTGTCCAAGCTAGTGGACAGAGGAGGATATGTGTTTTTTGGTTCAGCGACAGACTGGTGGTGTTTGTTCTTAAAACTATGCATTGCGTTTTCCTGAATCATTTTTTGCTAAGGCCAAGCTGAGATTTTCCTGTGTATTGTCACGTCATAGTGAGAGCCCAGACACGGTGCCGATTTCCTTGAGTGCCTGAAGAGCGAGCTGAAGAGCGAGGCTCTGGGACATGCCAAGGCTTTTGGAGCATGCACCAAGTCACCCCGTCGGTACTGCAGGCTGCTGAGTTCACAGGTGGCTTCTTAGCAAAACCCAGAATTGCTTTGGCAGTTGCTTTGCCTCCTACAGCACTGATGAACTGCACGTGTCTTGTAAGGTTTCCCCCAATTATTATTCTTTCTTTGGGGGAGTAAACTCTTCTGTAGGCTGTACATCTTCTGGCAGTGTGTATTTTCTCCTCCGCCTCTGCACTGCACCGTGGGGTCACTTTTAAAAACCCAGCTAGCTTTCTCCACGGGGAATATGTGACAGATATCCTTTGCACGTTAAATTCCTCTCCGGGTATTTCATGGCATCCCTCAATTGCCTTTCTGTCAACAGCAAGCGGTTAGTTTGACCTGCCAGGTTTAGCATGTGCTTTTAGTGAGGGTCCCCAGCCATGCCAAGACAGATTCACAATTAAATTGCGATCAGTTGCCCAGCAAACACTGATAAGCTTAAAATCAGAGGAGGAGGAATGTTGGCTGCCTTAAGTGAGGTGCCAGTTTTATTACCCTCAGAGCTTATCTTCCTTCCAAATTAAAATCCCAAACGATCCCCACCACTGCCTAAGCCTGTAAACCTCCCGTAAGTGCGAGGTAAGGTGACCCGGTGGGACTGGGAACACACACAAAGTAGGTGGTGCAGGCTGTTTGCACCGAGCAGAAATGACGTGGTGGGTTCAGCAGTTGTTTTCCTTCTCCGATTATTTATTTACATTTTTGGAATGACCTTGGTGGGGAATGACTGCTCACTCAACCCCATGTCCTTGCCTGAGACTCTCTTCGGAACGCCCATAAGATTGTCGACCTGTTTCACGCTCTCGGTCACATAACAGGAGTTACAAAAAGGCTGGTGCTTCCCTCGTGCGACGGGGTAGTACAAACCGATGCTCTTGGCCACCCTTCCCATATGGGGAGAGAGCGGGCTGCAGCATTTGGCTTGCAACAGCATTGTGTACTGGTGTCCAAAATACAAATTGTGCTAGCTCCCTGCCTGAATGTTTCGGAAATGAACATTAAGTCCTGCCCTGCTGCATGGGCCAGACTGCATTTGATGAATTGGAGTCAGTGCTGGCAAAACGTAATTGCTCATAATTATGACAAATCATGTGCAGTGCTCATACTGTGAACTACAAAGCTTTTGTCCACTACCGCTTATCCAGCTGCTTAAAAGGCTCTGCTGCTAAAGTGCATGAAGCTTGGAAAGAGCCTTCAGGATCTGGTTGTTGGCAGTTCGTTGAGCGCACTGAAAAATATTCGGTCTGTTTGAAGAACTTGCTTCTAATCCCTAGAGTTTCTCCTGGTGTGGGGGAGCAGGAGCTGGACTGCAGGACAGGGGGTGGCTCAGCGGCGCAGCCAGATGAAGGCAGGGATGGCTATTAAAAGGAATTTTGAGCATTGCTCTAGATCTGTGTCCTTGATAAAAATCCCCAGTGATGTTCATCCTTCCAGTAACAGCTGCGGGCACGTCATTTCCCCTCTCTCTGCATTACTGGACAGCGTGTCTTTCTGGTGGTTCTGGGTTTGCATTTTCTGTACTAAGAAAGGGTTTCTCGTGCCTATCAGAAGCGTTTGTTTCAGCAGATGCTGAAGAAGCGTGCACGCACGAGAAGGCAGCCTGTGTGTTACTTCACTTTGCCTGAGCACAGAATTGCACGCACAAGAAGTAACTGCTGGGATGGATTGCCTCTTGTTTTCCAAACACCGTTTTCCTTTGGTTTGTGGCCGGTGCTGTCAGCATGTGCCAGTCACGTTCACAAAGCACCGCTGAATCAGATAGCCCAGCTGGGTATTTTAAAACGTTGGATACCTTCATAGCCACAGGCCTTTGGGGCTGTAATTGCTGAGATAGAAGTGCTGCAGTCTGGGGGGGGAGAGAATTTGATCCTCCCCGGCTAGGCACGTCGTCAAGGGGAGTCCCGACCCACTGCGGAGTACAAACCCTCGCTGAAGCCGGGGGGATCCTCTGGTACAGCAGGTCAAAATCGCCAGTTCTTCTCAGTAAATACTCCTCCCTTCTTTTCTGTCTTTTAGTGTCAAGATGGTGCTGATGTGGACCAGCGGGGACACTTTCAAGACTGTTTACTTCATCTTGAATCAGGCCCCTTTCCAGTTCTCCGTCTGCGGGCTCCTGCAGGTTTTTGTGGACATGGCTATCCTGTTGCAGGTTTACTTGTACAGCAACTACCCGCAGAAGCCGGTGTCCCACGCCGCGCACCCAGCCAGCACCAAGGCCCTGTGAGGCACCCAGCTGCACAGGTTGCAGGTCAACAGCGCCGCGGCGCCAGGCAGGGCAGCTCCTCTGCTGCTCGGAAATACTCCCGTGTTGTCGAGTTGAAAGCAGAAAGGAGGCCGAGGATTGAAAACCTGGCTGCACTTCCAGCTCGGGAGGTTTTATTTTAGATAACTTGCGCTCTCTGTTTTCAGACTTAACTGTACAGAGCTGTTTCTTGGTGGGGGTGGGGAGGGGCACTTTATTCTTGCATATGTACCTACGAGCCTTATCAATTCACAGATGTTTGTATATTTAATCACAAGGGCTGGACGGTTTTGTGTTTTTAACGCTATTTAAAAATGTTACACCACAGAAATGGTAGGGTATTTTGTCTGATACTTTTACCTATTTATACAGTATAAAGTCTGTACATTGGCAGGAGGTTTGTGGCATATGCTAGCGCTCAGTATCTCCAGGATGCAGGAAGAAGGCTTGAAGAGCAAACACAGGAGCTTCCTCTTTGCTTTAAGAAGGGAGCCTGGTGAGCAGAGGTGAGGGCGGGAGGCGCTGCGGGGCGGGCAGAGCCGGGCTGCAGGACGTCTCGCACAAACCAGCGGGCGTGCGTGGCCAGTAATGCCGGGCAAGTGATTCTAGATGGCGACTGAGCCACGAAGGTAGAAGCGACTCCGCTTCTGCTGCCTCAGAAGGGGAACTGAAAAAGCTTGAGACAGAGGAAAAGCTGTATCCTGTGGAGCAGGGCTAGCATCTGCCAGCTTCGTTTGCTGAGGCGGAGATTCACGTTCATGTCTAATGCCAAACAAGAACCAGTTTATGTTTTGGGGTGTTTCTTGCACTGACCCAAGGAAGGGAGTCCACATTTTCCTTTTTCTGTTGCTTAAGCTCTTTGAGGCTCTTAGAAGAATCAGCAGCCTGTACTTAGACAGAGGGACTGAGAAAGCTGAAAGAGCGGAGAGGTTTATTTATAAATGTAGATGTTGTCTGTAATGGCTGTTCGCCAGCGTAGGTCGCCGTGCCCTTTCTGAGAACTGCACGTGTGGAGCAGCTGCAGGTGGTGCGGACCCACGGCACGCTGTGACCGACCCCCCCTGGACCCACGGCACGCTGTGACCGACCCCCCCGGACCCACGGCACGCTGTGACCGACCCCCCCCGGACCCACGGCACGCTGTGACCGACCCCCCCCGGACCCACGGCACGCTGTGACCGACCCCCCCCGGACCCACGGCACGCTGTGACTGACCCCCCCCGGACCCACGGCACGCTGTGACCGACCCCCCCTGGACCCACGGCACGCTGTGACCGACCCCCCCGGACCCACGGCACGCTGTGACCGAGCCCCTGGGCTTCTCTCAGCCCAGTCGGTGCGGGGCAGCCGCAGCGCGATGCTCAGTCCCACAGGCTCACTGCTCCGTGGGGTCCCTCCCTGCCGCCGGGTGAGTCTCCTCTGACCCCAGGCAAGGTGTTTGGGGGGGGGGGGGGGGGGCAGAAGGAGGGCGTCCCCGGGGTGGCCCGGCAGATCCAGTCAGATCTGCGTGCCTAAAGCAGAGCCGAGGGCAGAGCTGCCGCTCGCCGGGGCTGGGCCCGGAACGCTCTGCCCGGGCACCCGCCCCGCGCTCCTTGTTCGACACCGGACTCTTCTAGGCCTGAAGTGACCTTACAGAGATGATGTACCCGGCATGGCAGACTATGAATGTTGTGGTCCTCTCTTCTCCAGTTTTCTGATTGTTTTACAGGAATACCTGGGCTTTCCTCTTTTTTAATTGAAAACTTACTTAACAACTGGCTTCCCCGCTATGCTGCTTTAATGAGGATTGTATTTCTACTGTATGCAAACAAACACCTTCTTGTGCGTTTTAATGGTCTGATGGGTCTTTTTAATAACTTGTAATGCTAAGATTTTTGTATATGGTGGTCTTTTTCTAAAACTCTACGAAACGGGGATATAAGAAATAAATGGCTCTTAAGAAATATACTTCTGTATGTTAAAGCTTCACCTGGGAGTGCACACTTTTGGCCGCCTCTTTGGCTTTGAAGTACAGGTATTACCGAGGATAAAACAACTGTTGTTTCTTTCCTTTTGGAACTCTTCCCTGGGCATATTCTTGAGTCTGTCGTCGGTACCCAAACCAGCGAGCTCTGCAGGCCAGTCTCCTTCACCCCACAGCTGCAAACGCTGGAAGTGAAGCCAGTGAAACTGTGTCTAAAGTCATCCTCCGTATGTGGCATTCAGCAAGTTCTTTGGCCAGGGACTCTTGAACTTGATGTTGGAAGATACTTTAGGGGCAGAATGTTACAGAACTCGGTTTTTGTTCTTTAATCATCTGGAAGTATCCGTATCAATGATCACCTCAGAGAATAAGAAATCGATTACTTTAAATGCATCTCTTTGAATGTATGGCGCATTTCACAGAGTTTATTTTCTCTGTCCGTTGCAAATTTTTTTTTTGTTTGTTTGAAATAAAAATTACCTATTATTTATAAATTGCAGCGTTGCTTTGTTTCAGTGGGACTGTCCCTAGATGAAACACCGGGAAGCCCCTTCAGGGAAGGGGGGCTCTCACAGCCGCCCCGGCGGCGGCGGCAGCAGGGCCGGTCGGTGCAGCGTGGGGCGAAGCTCCCCCCCGCCTGCACCGCGGCTCCGCAGAGACGGAGGCCTCACGGTTACGTCTTTGGGTGCACCCATCTGCAGCTAAAAGCATTTTAAGGCAAAAGGTGAAGCTCAAGTACGGCACTGCAAAACTAAAGCGAAAGTTGGCCCGCAAAAATGCCCTTTGTTAAATTTCCGCCGGGGCGAGGCAGCAGCCCCTGCCCGCCTCGCTGCTGAGGGGACGGCGCCCGCGTCGTGTTTTTCTTACAACCGGCGCAGGCTGCTGCTTAACCGAGGTCGCTGCGAGGCAGGAGGTGGCCGCGCTCACACGAGTTGTGTTCGGCTTTGGGCCGGGCCCTCTCACTCCGTCCCCTTACCCGTTACCGCATCCTTAGCTCTCATGGTTACAGTTTTCAGACGATTATTCTTGCCAACTGCCAGAATTTGTACGTCCCGGCCCACGCGTGCTGCCACCGAGATCCCTGTGTAGGAGAGGTGGCTTTGCTCACACACGTTGTGAGTCTCTGTCCCATAGGAGAGAGGAATTTATTTTTCTCCCTTAGGGCAAAACCAACGCGCTACAGTCGCCCAGTGCCAGGCTGTATTTCATGGCACCAGCACGCACGCAGACAGCAGTGTAGATTTATGAGAGATAAGTGGCCTTACATCGTGTGCGTTACTGTGTCAAATTAAAAAACAACCACCACCATACACAACAAAGCCAACACTTCTCCAGTGGCTGATCAAAAGTAATAAGCATCACCCATAACAACAGCTACTCTTGGGTGAAATTCGTTCTCCTCTGGGTATCTTTTATGTTGGCAATATGCGCATCACAACTTCACACAGCTTCCAAAAATAATTTGTTTAAAAGGTTCCTGGCTTATATTTGTTTCTTCATCTGTCATCTCAACAGATAAAATGAAACTTTATTAAAAGCCAGGCCTTGACAAACCGACGTAACGAGTGGGTTTTGTCACTTTATTAAAACTTTGTGCATGCTGGAATTAATTATGTGCCTTTTGAAAAATACAAAGAACTCGCTATTGTAGGACAATAGCAACTTGATGGAGCACAGCAATAATAAGTGTGTCATCAGTCTGTTTTTCTACACAGCTGCTGAGCTGCAGTCGGCTGTCCTGGTGCGCTGGTTTTTCACGCTGCAGGGCCAAAAGCAGCATTCATTCATGGTTATTTGCTAGCACCGCGAGCCTGAACCTCCTCATTCCGCAAGGATGTCTTCTCCAACGCGGCTCTTCTAAGAATTAACTAACGCTGCTGCTCCTTCCTGGGCCTCACCACCTCGAGGAGATGCGTCCCGCACCCTCCGTGCGCACCGGCCGTGATCACTGCGTTGACGCCGGAGGCGGAGCGCTCCACAGCACCGCGAGAGGTGAACTTGTGGGCTCACCTGGTGAACCTGTCAGGTCCCCCCCTCAGGACCGAGGACCCAAAAGGCCACCACAACATGCCCCGCTGCCCCTCAGCACCATGCCATGCTCTCCCCCCCTCCCCACCCCAGCCTCCACTGCTCGCTTTGCTGGTTTGCATTTAACCGGCTGCGCAGCTCTATCCCCGACGCCAAATGTTAATAAGCCTTAATGCAAGAAATGCCCGCATCAGGATTTAAAAAAAAAACAAAAACAAAACCAAACCCAATAAAATTAAAACCTCTCACGAGTCACAGCAACCACAGCGCTGGGTACTCGCTCTGCCAGGAGGCTGAGCCAGCCCTGGCAGGGGCGATGGGCTGCACTCCGTTCGCTTGGGGTTTGGAGACCTGGGGGGGGGGAGGGACTGACACGGGACCCTGGCTGGAGCACAGCTCCACAGCAAAACATCACCCCTCCCACCCTGAATCACCAGAGGCGAGCATTCAGCAACAAAGCTTCTAATTTTTATTAAAATAAACTGTCAGCTTTTATTTTCCCTTGCTCCATTCCTATAAGGAATGGCTTAATACTGCGGGTTTGCTAATGTAGGGTTGGCGTTACAACATATGCTGAGGCAAAAAAAAAAAAAAAAACCAAACCCAAAAAACAACACACCCAAACCAAACAAATCCCATCTTCAATACATCAGCTTTTGTTCCCTTCCTGGCAGGAGGAGAATATGGAGGGTAACACTGCACGGCTTTAACACAAACGGGGCTGTAGGTACACGAGGCAGTTGCGCTCCATTTTGCCCCATCCCACTCGTGTCCCACTTGTAGAAGCACCCGAACACCCCACGCCTCCGGGGAGGGGGCGGCGAGCTCACCCCGCCGGCACCCGTGAGACACGCAGGTGCCACCACAGGATTCATTTGCCCTTTAAACCGACTTTTGAGACTTAGGAAGAAGAGCCAGAACCATCATCCTCATTTTTCAATGACAGGATTGTCGTCTTCTTAGTAGGGGGAAAAAAAAAAAAAAAAAAAAAAAAAAAAAAAATACTACTCCTAACACAGAGCTGCTGCGCTGCAGCTCGGGGCAGAGCCCGCTGAAGGCATCTCACAGGCTTCAGTGGGTTTGGGTGAGCCCCGTTTGCACATGGCTGCTGCCAGAGCAGCCACCGCCGCTGCGGGAGAACATGCAGAGCTGGGAGCTGCTGCTGGTTTAACGTCCCTCTCCCCTTCTTGGGCTGCGTGTAGTTCAGGTTTGGTCAGCTGTTCAACGCTTGTTTCGCTATATGAGAGATGGAAATAGTTAACAGAAAAGTGGAGAAATGGCATGATCTGTAAAGGTATTTGTTATATTCAACTGTTAGCAAAGGAAAAAAAAAAAAACAAAACCAAAAAGAAACCACCGTTCAGTCAGGAAGATTGTCTAGGTATGTATTTCTGTCACGGGGCTACGACACAAAGCTTAGGGTGGTAAATACGCGTATTTACTACATAATGCGTACTGCGCTAGCGCCCGGGGCATTGCTGGCAGCCCAGGCTGCGCTGCCTGGTTTGCAAACCAGCCAAACCCAAGCCCCTGGGGAAGCTGAAGGGACGTTTCTGCCCTGGTCGTGCCTTCAGAGCTCGGCTCGGCTGAGCTTTGTGTGCCTTGTTGGTACGGGCCGGGCCGGGGCTGGCCGCTGTGCCGAACGGCCCCCGGCACGGGCCGGGCTGCACCTTACGTCCTCCCGGCCGGCTGCCTTCAACGGCTGCTCTGAGGGGGCTGCCGGAAAAACCTGTGTGATAGAAAAGAAAAGCCCTAGGAAAAGCGATGGAGCAGAGCTGTACTTGGTAGAGTTTCTAGGGGCCCTTTTCGGAGGGCCCTTAAGATCCAAAGTTGGCCTTCAGAGACAACCTTGTGTGTGCCTGCCCCGCCGTTTACACAGTCCAGGAGGTTCTTCTTGCAGGACTGACCCCCACCAGCACCTTGTCCACTGCTTCTTGTGCTGCCAACATACATCTTCGGCTGCTCAGGGTCAGCAGCTTCCCGTGGCTTCGCGGTCTGCCGCGGGCTGACCCTCGGGCCCAGCAGCTCCTGGTGGGAATGTGACACTGAGCCCCGGTGGCCTGTCCCCCCCGGGGAGTTTGGTGCTGCCTTCTCGCTGGTGCATCTGCCTGCCCGCTGCTCGTTGCTGCTGCTCCTTCAGCTCGCTGTAGGAACGGGAAAAAGTGTGAAAGATGGACGTGACTGGGAAAGCCATCAGCAAAATCCCACTCAGGATACTGCTCAGGGCTACCACCTGCCCGGGGATGCTACGAGGCACCATGTCTCCGTAGCCCACAGTTGTCATGGAGATCACAGCCCACCAGTAACTGGTGGGGACGCTGGTGAATTCCTGCTTGGCTCCCAGTTCGCTCTCCGCCAGGTACACCAGTGGCGAGAAGAGGGCCATGGCGACGCAGAGGAAGAGCAGGAGGAGCCCGAACTCCCTGGTGCACCGGCGCACGGTGAGCCCCAGCGTCTGCAGCCCCAGCGAGTGCCGCGCCAACCTCATCACGTAGAGGATGCGCAGAGCCCGCAGGAACCGCAGCACCAGCCCCACTCGTTCCAGGTACTTGTTCCCGGCTCCCACGCCGGGCCTGCTGCTGTTTTTCGGGGAGACCGTATCGACGAGGAGAGAGATATAGAAAGGCAAGATGGCCAGGATGTCGATGATGTTGAGCGGGGTTTTCAGGAAAGCACACTTGTTCTCCGCCTGGATGGATCGCAGCAGGAACTCGAATGAAAACCACGCCACGCACACGGTCTCCAGCACAAAGATGTCATAGCACTTCCGTGAGCATTCGCCCTGGGGAGAAGAGGAGCGGGAAACACAGGAAAGGGGGGAAGAAGAAGATTTAGCCGGGGAGCGAGCCAAAGAAACAGAGAGCGCCAGTTCTTAAAGGAAAGCACCGCGTGAAGTAGATACAAATTGTCAGGTACCAAAGAAAAACCATCGCTGCTGGGAGCAGCTGGAATGGATAACTAAAACCAGAGCTACCGGCTACATGTTTGGCTGCCAGACAGGTCAACGGTGCTGAGGAGTGTCCCGAGGCTGCCAAGAATTTGTTGTGATGGTATCAGCTGTCAGCCAGGCAGCCCGCTGCTGAAAGGCCAGTGGCTCACACTTAATTTCTAACCAAGGCTTTAACACCTTTTCGAAAGGATTAGTACAGGATTCACGGATTTTAACAAATGGGTGCCTCCCTCCCTCCCTTCCCGATGAATAATAAATTGCTTACAAATGGCTCATAAGCATCTATAGCATTTTACGTTGTGTGCTTGGAGTCATCTATAAGCTATTACTCACAGAATACAGCATATTTTTTTCTATTGCAGTGATCATTTATTAACGCGCGAGCCCTACAGTCAAAACCTTATGCAAAAAACTGATAAATGTAGGTATTTCTAAAAGAAGAAGTACCACAAGAGTAGAGGAAGGGTCTGGAGAGATAAGCAGTTTTAATTACCTCGCCTGTAACAACTGATGACCACAACGCCCTCCTCCCCCAGCCTTCTGAGGCACTGGAAGGGGTGCTCTCCCCTGCAGGCTCACTTAGTGGAAAACAAGAACTCTGGTTCTTTCTTTAGCTACAGTGCCTGTAAACAAGCCAGCCTCGGCGCACTGGAACAGCAATAAACAATAATGCTGGTGATGGCTGCTCTTTGATTGTTAATTCAACAGCACAAACACCGTGGCAATTCTCTGCTACATCACTGTCAGTAACTCCAGCTGAATAATAATCAGCTTCTCTAAATAAACAGATTTTGATGTGGACAATTATAGGGCTAGTGCTGTTTCCTCTGTAATTGCTCATATAAAAGTGTTAATGCTCTGAGGGGTTTGAGCAGAAGGCAAGTGTGTGTTTATTTAAGGAAAGCGTGTATTTATTCAGTGAGCCAGTCTGACTCCGAGCAGTTCATGAAAACTCTCGTAAGCGTGTGGGAGTCCATCCATGGCAGTGGGGTGGGTGACTCCCACTGGATGCAACAGGTATTAGGTACCGATGTAAAGGCTCGTTTTGCTCACCTATGCTTAAATTATAGCAATAAAACACCACTCAGGAGAGGTGAGGCTGTGTCAGGCTGGTCCCCATTTCACCACTGGAGAAGCAGAGAACCTGGCACATCTAGGAACAGGCCTGCCCATGTGCTCACCACGGGTGTCTTTTGCTAGGCAGAGCTGAGGAAATTTTTATTGCACAGCACCACATCCTAACTTCAGCCCTCTCTAAGCATCCATGCACGTGGGTTTTTTTTCCCCATTATGAAAGAAAACAGCAAAGGAGTGATGAGACTTTTGCCCTCTTTGCTAACCACAGCATTCCCCAAAATGTCGGGGAGTGACTGGACAATTTCAAGGGCTGCTGCGCTGCCGGCAGCGAGAGCAGTGGTGTCTCATTGAGTATAAAGCCTTGTGTTAGCTCAGTACGACATCCAGAATGCCGGGGCACCCTCCCCATTTCACACCTAAGAAGAGGTTGAGACAATGGCTAAAGAGATGTCAGTGGGAAAAAAGAAAAAAATGAAAAGGAATCCTCAGAGCCGGCATTTATGATCTTTGTATTAAACACGCTGAAAGACTGTAGTGCCTTGTATTTATAGATTTTTTTTTTTTGTATTCCACTTTCTACTGGCATATGATGTACCTCCCACTGTTTCCCAGGGGGTCATGCTGCTATGGAGAGAAAAATTACTTGTCCCACTGAAATTGCTGTCAAGATTTTAAGCATATTGCAGGGAGGAAGGAGAATCTTGTTTTACTAGCGTAGTACTTCAGATAGCCTGTCTTCCTAATTTTGATAGGTGTGAAGACTAGGAGCTTAATTTATATCTGCCTCGCCAAACTAATTTGGTCATAAATAAGTATTTTTGTCACAATCATAACACACAGGACAAACCATTTTGTTTTTAGGGGCTTTGCTCCTATCACAGCATAATGAAGCCATCGGGCTCTCCCATCAGCTACAGAACCGAGATGCTTTCACGCCACCGCACAAACCTGGCTCTGTGGGCCAAAGCTCACAAAGTCAGTGGAAGGACTCTTGCCTGGGCCACTGTCACTTCTCACCTTATCCCCAAGAAACCAGCCGTCAGGCCGATATCGTCCCAGAGCCCTGCTGCCTGGGCCCCTCTCGTCAGGGTATGCTTGGTCTCACAGCTAAGGGCAATGGTTGCAGGTGATTTGCAGCTCCCAATACTATCCTGGCACGTGCACAAAAGCTGAGACATCGAGACAACCCGCAGAAGAGTAACTGTGGCTCCAGCAAAGCAGCAGCAATGGCAAGAAGGCAAAACCAACCAACCAAACCAACAAACCAAATTTGCTTCCCTTCATCACTACTTGGACCACCACGTATGGAAACTAAGATGTAGCTTGCCTTAAGAGACCTATCTGGCAGGAAGCGTTCTGGATTCTGATGTGCTCATATATAATTTTTGTGCCACTAAAAGTTTAAGGAAAGTCAGGGGAGACTGTGGAGAATTTACCCTTGGAATAGATCTGCAAAGAGATTACGGCGTTTAATAGCTAACTTGGCACCTATTTCCCCCAGCGCTCTCTGTCTGGTGCATAAGGAAAGGAAACTCTCCCAAATCCTTCTGCGTATGAGTTTTGGTGTGGGAGCAAACAGGAGGGGAGGCTTGTTCCTCATTAACGGGCTACCAGTGGAGCTGACTTTCAGAAGACTCCATCTGCCCTCCCACACTCTGACATGTTTATCCTGTGTAGGTTCACAAACCTACAGCTCCGCTATTTATGTCTCCAGTCTTCCCGCAGAACTCCCCCACCACGGCGAGCGCAGCCGGGAGCCTGGGCTCCGCCGCGCTCGCCAGGCTGAAGCTCGGGCTCGTCCAGCCCCGCCGAGCCCCGCCGGCCTCTCTGCCCCCGCGACGAAGAGCTGGCACGTGCGGGCTCTGGCCTCCCCCGCGCCCCCCGCTCCCCGCGCCTGGCGCCCAGCGTCGGGCCGGCCGAAACGTTCGCCTTCAGCAGGGCGGCGTGGCAGCGCGCGGCGGCAGGGAGCTCGTTTTAACGGGGTGAAACCAGCATCCCCTCGCCTAGCTAATGCGTCGTTACCGTCGGCAAAGTGCTAGGCTTCCTCAGGATCCTTATGAACCTACTGCAAGGCTGTCCGAAGGCTGTCCTGAGAACGAGAGGGGCTGAACAGGCTTTTTGAAAAGAGACCTGCGTTTCAATTAACCTGCCAGAGGCTCTCTTTTCACTAATTAAATGTCTTCCTGGACCACGTCTCAATATCAGCTAGCTATGACCTATTATTATCCTCATATGAAACCAAAAACAGTAACAGTAAAAATGTGTTTCATGCTCTCCGCGCTTTGCTTCTTTCAGCTGCAGCTGTTTCTCCTTCCAGTTTTTTTTCCCCTTGATTACAGCATTGTAAAAAAAAAAAAAAAAAAAAGGGCAATTTTTCTCTTTCTGAAACTTCTCACAATGTATTCGAGTCCAACCGGATGGTGTAACTCTGCTTGGGTTTATGAGGGTTTTTTCCATTCGAGAAAACAAAACAGAAATACGCAGAGAGGCACACACAAAGATGGCAAAAAGCACTCAAGAATTAATCAGCCATTGGAATAAGAGAAAAACAAGTCCTAACAGATTAGGATAGCAACCTGCCCAAAATAGGTCTGCATCAAATCTGTATGTTCCCAAAAAGATCAAGCTATACCCACTCATGGCCATAAACATGTGCATTAACAACTACATACTGGTTTTTGTAAGCAAAGTAGCCAGCTCTCATACTAATTGGATTTCTTCATCTTGTAATCTAATGGATATATTTTTATGATTAAATTTTTATATCTAGCTTTATGCAAGTGGATCAGAAGAAAACTTTTTTAAAGTTTTCATAACAATTTGATATCTTTTTGACTTTTAGAGGTCTAAACAAAAATTAGCATGAATGGCAATCACAAAGGACACCCCCATTGCACTTTTCTAGTATTAAAAGACTTTTTTTTTTTTTTTTTAAATGTGCCTATAACCATGCCATTAAATAAACAACATCTTGGGCTTTTGATTACAAAAGGCAGTGGTATAATAAATACATATGGAAACAGTTGTTCCTTACAAGATATATATGTTTACCTATGTGTGTGCATGTGTTTCTTTCAAACAGTGAGTGGCTTTTTTTTTCCTGTGCAGAAATCACTTGGGTATGGGGAAATACCTGCAGTTGCAGAGGATTTGGGGCCATATACTAATATCAACTCAGGGCACAAGAAAAGAAAAGAAGGAAGGTCTCAGTGAATAATTCTATGCAGTCAAATTGAAGTGAGTCTCCTTCACCAGGATTTATAGAAACTTGCTGTCAAAAAGCCAGCCGCAGTATCTTTCTTCTGGAGAAACATTTTCTTTGCCAAAGGTTCCTTTGGCAAAAGGAGAATTACAAAAAGAAAAGCTGGTGTCGCTGGAGTTCAAATCCAGCAGTACTCATTGCTCTGCAAGGTCTGACTAAAAATTGCAGGCATCTTTCACAAACATTGTGGTTTGGCTTGCGGGGTCCCTTTCACTGGTCCTTCCCTGTACCGCGCCTCAGAAAAATTCCCCATTGTGTTCTGTGTGACTTCTTGACCCTCTTTTTGTCCTCTGGTCTCCTGAGAAGAAATTCTGTCTCCTCTAGATTCTTGCAGGCTTTGATGCCATCTCCCCTCTCTGGTATTAGACGATGTCAAAAGCCAAATCACCTCTAACCGCCCCGCTTCTTGTGTTGCTTTGCACACACATTTTTGTACGGTCAGCAGCTCCACAGTACTTTCAAGGAAGAAGGTTCAATGCCGTTCACTTCCCCC